GAGTGTCGTTTCAGCGGCAGAGAAACAGAATCAGAGGTGGAAGTTAGGATTGACTCTCACCTAGTACCTAAGGTAGACAGGTTTCGATATCTTGGATCGGTAATCCAGGCTGATGGGGAGTTAGACGGGGATGTTGGACATCATGTTGGAGTGGCTTGGGCCAAATGGCGGTTGGCTTCAGGGGTATTGTGTGACCCGAAGATTTCGCCCAGGATGAAAGGCAAGTTCTACCGATCCGTAGTCAGACCTGCTATGTTATATGGGGCAGAGTGTTGGGCGGTTAAGAAGACTCATGTGCGTCGTCTGCATGCGGCGGAGATGCGGATGTTACGATGGATGTGTGGGAAGACAAGGTTGGATAGGATTTCGAACGAAGTTATTCGACGTCAGGTAGGCATGGCGCCGGTGGAAGATAAATTGCGGGAAGCGAGGTTGAGATGGTTTGGTCATGTGAGACGGCGGGATGCTGACGCCCCTGTACGGAGATGCGAGCGGATTACGGTTTTCGGGGGAAGTAGGGGAAGGGGTAGACCTAAGAAGAATTGGAAGGAAGTGATTAGACAGGATTTAGGACTTCTCACCCTGACTGAGGATATGGCTTTAGATAGGAACCTTTGGAGAACTAGGATTAGAGTAGCTGGTTAGGAACTCGGTGCTATAGAGGTTTTTTGTAGTGTGTTGTGTTTGATTGGAATCTTCTATTAATGCTTGTAGAACTTTCTTTTCATTGTACTTGATGTTTTATCCATGCTATACTGTATACCCTATCATTTTTTGTGCAGGTTGAGCCGGGGGTCTCTTGGAAACAGCCTCCCTGCTTCCAAGTAGGGGCAAGGTCTGCGTACACACACCCTCCCCAGACCCTACTGTAGTGGGATCCAACTGGGTTGTTGTTGTTGTTGTTGTAATCTGAAATTTAACATCATTTTTATCGTTGTACATTATCTATAAAAAATTCCAGAGGCACCCGTCTTATTCTTATCCCAAGTCTTCTCATTTTCTACATTACCCACTATTATGGCGGCTAACCAGTACGTGACTAATGTGAAAAACAACATGGAATGGCAAAAAATTATAGTAAAAGTACTAGTAATTGTTTTTAATTATAATAGTAATAAGTTTTATTTTAAATAATAATAAGTTTTATTTTACTTAAAAAATAGTGTAACAAAACTACTAATTAACTTTTAATAATAATAATAAATTAAAAAAATAGAAGAAAAATAAAAAAATAAATAATAATTAATACAAAGTAATACTAATAAATATTTTAATTTTTTATAAAAGAGTAAAGTAGTAAAATTACTAATTAATTGATTTTAATAAATAATAGTATTAATAATAAGTGTTTTTTTATTATAAGTGCTATTTTTCTAAATAAAAAATAATAGTAGTAGTAGTAGTAATAATAATAATAATAATAATAATAATAATAATAATAATAATAATAATAAAAGAAGAAGAAGAAGAAGAAAAGAAAAAATAGAGGAAGAAAAAAAGGGGGGAGGGAATTGGGTGGGGGTGGGGGTGGGGAGGGCTGGTCTCTAATACGTATAGGAAAGAGAGAAAAGAAAAAGAAAGAAAAAGAGAAAGAAAGAAAGAAAAAACATAAAAAAAAGAAGAAAAAGATAACAGAAATAGAAACTAACGGAGGAATGGACGGATTGTCACCTCCTAGTAAGTTTTTGGATAATTTAAGGTACCTCGGAGTATATTTAAAAAAATAATGGGACCTGGTAGTTCTTATCACAAAATTGAGGGTACCCGGCAGCAATTTTTTGGACCCCTTTCATTTATTTCTTCCACATGCAGAAGTATGACCAGTCAAAAAGACACAATTCGGCACTCATAAATCATAATAGCAATAAAAATATTGAGGATAACTGTATACATAGCTGAAAGCGTAACTGACAGCTTAAAACGGCTTGGAAAATAGTCATTTCAACAACTCTCAGAACTTTTTCACATGCCTATAGAATGTGATATGAACAATCATTTAATTTTGAGAGGTAATCAGGTATAATACGGGAGCAATTAGTGTTGTAAGGTAATTAGGTAAACCTTAGTTCTTGAGAAAACCATAAAGTAAAGAGGATTATGATTTATGATGCAATAACCTAGATTACCTGGCTAAAATTAACAAATTCTGGATCATTACTGTCATCAATGATAGGTAGACCTGCATGTGTTTGAAGTTTCTGCAGCAACGATCGATTCAAAACTAAAGTTGCCCTGGCTTTGTCAATTACATCCTGTTGAAATCACAAGTGGAAAAAGTTCAATTTTTACCATAGAGTTGTCAATTTGGAAAATTCAAACTCAATTGATAAAAAAGAGTAAAATATGATCGGATTGGGCTTTAATCACCCATCTTTTTTGGAAAGCATTGAATCAACCACAAACCAATCAATAAGGCCCTTCAACCCCTCATATAATCAATGTAGAATGGCATAGTCACAATACACAATTGGTCAAAGTATCAAACCAAAGAACAGGTGAAACTTTATGTTCTTGCAAGCACATATATCAATAGAACACCCCTAAAGCATCATCAAATAATAAAAGACTATTCAACAAGAAATACTCCCTCCTTCCCCCAAACAAGTTCTCGGCCTGACTTTCACATAGGCGTAGTTTTACACTTTTATGCACCTAAAAGTAGCTCTACTTTACTGGGTAGAGATAGAGTTGATCATATAAGAAGAGTTACAACAACCTAGTAGAATCCCACATAAATTAGGTCTGGGTAGGATGTGTGTACCTAGACTTTACCCCTACTATAGAGTAGAGAGGTTGTTTCAAAGAGAGCCCAGCTCGATTAACACATGAAATACATATCACAGAGAGCAGACTAATATGAGAAGAGTTAGAGTTGATGAAAAGGTAAGGGTATAATTGACATTTCAATCAAAAGGTACTCCCCTTTAAGGAAGTGGTAGATATTTTTAGACAATCAAATAAAGGAGGTGGGAACTAAATCGGGCGATGGAGGATGACTACTGACTCACTAGCGACTAATTAAATTTTGGCCTTGAACAACAAACTTCATTTCCCTCTTTTATCTATCTATATTTGAATGATCAAATTCTGAACCTTTCTTTACAAACACATTAATGAAAAAACAGAATGAAGAGCCCTCTTTTGTGTTCAAATCATACACATTGCCATTTCATGTTAAAGAAATCATATACATTTCATAGAATTTTCAAACATTCAGGCCTAAGCTTGAAGGTAAATCCACTACCCCTAATCAATCGAAAACATTCAAATCCCACGAAATAGAACACATATAGAAAGCAAATATCGCAATAGAGCACCCCTGCTAACAGAAAATTAATGTCTATAAGAAAATTCCTCGTACATCATGTTATCCCTCATGATATGGTAACATTTACTACAGTTTTTTTACGCCTTATGTGTCATCATTGAATAAAAGACTATTCAACAAAAAGTAGATTTTCTTTTATTGGTACATTTTGAGTTGATCATATGAGAAAAAATAAATTTGATGATATGGAAAGGGTATAACTGACTTTCAAACAAAAGGCATTTCCTTTGAAGGAAGTGGGCACATTTTATAGACAACCAAATAAAGGAAGTGGGAACTTAATCGGGCGATGGAGGTGTATGAGTGGCCTTGAACAGTAAACTGCATATCCCTCTTTTATACATCTATATGTGATTGATCAATATCTTAGCCTTTCTTTGCAAACAAATTAAGAGAAAAATTGAATTGGAGGGCCCTCTCTCGTGTTCAAATCACACACATTGCCACTTTCTGTTATTGAAATCATTAACATTTCCTAGAATCCCCCCAATATAAACAAAAACCAAACCCCAGGAAACCAGATGTTCAATTAAAAGGGAAGAAACACCTGTTTGGCTGCTAGAAGCTCGCGACAGTGCTCCTGAATGGACGCCAACTCCTGCTGTATTTTGTTGATCCGTGACACAAGCTTCATGGGGTTCGTCTGTAAAAGGGGGAAAAAAGGACAATTCAGGGTTAGAAAACAAACCCTAGCTGAGAAATACAGAAACTCGTAGACAAACCGCGATTGAATCCAGACGTTATCGGAGTAGACATGCTGGAACTCCTTCTCGAGCTTGAAGGAGACGAGATTAAGGTCATGGTGTGATTTGGAGAGGAAAGTCACAAGCCCGTCTACGGCTCGGTGGTGATGATAATCATGGGAATGCCTCATCTGCTTCGTTTTAAGATTATGCTGGCTAATAATGCAGTTGGTCTGAGGAATGAGCGGTTTTGGTTTTTGAGTATAGTGGTAGACTTTTAAAAACAAAACAGAAATGATAGGACTACACCAAAATGTTGTAACTCATTTGTACCCTCAACATTTCCACCACACAAATATAAGAGGGGAAAAAGTTTAAAAATAAAAAAAAAATTAATGCTTAGGATCAATGTGTACAAATGGGGTACAACATTTGGTGTATCTCTAGCATTTTGTGAAAAACATACTATGTTTTAAAGTTATAATTTAAATTTAATAAATTAAATTTATTTTAAAATATAATTTTGATAAATCATATATTTTTAATATTTGATTACTTTGAATTATATTTAATTCCTTATTAAAATGTTGTCAAACTGTGATTTTTTTAGACAAAGAGAAAAAGAGTTATGTTTGATGATCCTAATATTGACATCACTTTTTACCCCATTCTTCTTATAAATATTTATAAACACATAATAGTATCGGATGTCAATGAATGTCTCTAGAAAGGTAAGATTAAAAGTATGGTGAAAATTGAGGTACATTTAACATTTTTCAAAAACAACGCTAAAGCATTCTAACCTTTCAAATATATAATTTCATCATTGTCTTTAGTCTATATTGTAAAGTTTAGCTTTTGATTTTTCCAATTTAACATAAAAAAAATATGTAATTTTTTAGGTGGGTTGATGGGGAACTGACCATCCTGCTTTACAGAGGAAAGTAGGACCAACAATATCAGAGATATCGTGCCCAAGAGAGGGAATTGAGAATTGAATATTACGCGATTGCGGCAAAATCCAAATCAATCAGAATCCGCTAACCAAAGGAATAAATCGATAAGAAGGAATACAGAATTTCACAAACCACTCCACGGTAAACTGTTTGGCGTTACAGAACACGATTCTGGATCACATTGACGACGGTCTCCTCCGAGAGAGGTAGACATGGCTCAAAACCCAAGATGCTCATCTTTAGGATTTCGAGGAACAAACAACTCATTTGAAATGAATCTTCAATATTAGTGATATCTTGTGTAGCACCTCTCTCTTCACACCCTTTCTCTCTCTTAGCCGTGTGTAAAACCCACACACAAATATAAGGAAAATATTCCTCTTATAAGAGGTAAAGACATAGTTTTAAAAAACTGGACCGGACCGGGCGGTTCAGACCGGGAACCGGAAAACTGGGGGTCAAACCAGTCCGGTCCAGCCCCAAAGACCGGTAGGTGCACCGAACCGGCATGAACCGGCACAAACCGCTCCGATTTAACCGGTGACCAGTTTTTTTTTTGCACAAATGTCTCAAAAATTGTTATTAATGGGTTTCGAACACACAACCTACTGCCCACTAGTTTGGCTATCTACCATTTAGCTACCATCCCTTTTGTTGCATGAAGACATTATTAGTCATATATTACATTCTTAAAAATAAACAAATATACATATTCTAAAAAGACTTTTTTTATGTTTAAAAATTTTAAAAATATAATGTTGAAACTTTGATTCAAATTCTAAAATATTGATGCAATTGATTCTAATATGAATTTCATATCACAAAACTATTAACTCATTTAAATATTTTAAAAGTATTGTGTAAATTATAAAATAAAAAATACGACCTCTTATTTTATAATTTTTTATTTGTTTCAATAAATAACTATATATATATATATATATATATATATATATACACATACATACATACATATGGGTAAAGACCAACAAAAATAACCGGTCCGACCAGTGAACCAGTGAACCAGTATCTTGACCGGTTCGGTCCCCGGTCCGGTTCTGAAAACTATGGGTAAAGACCAACAAAAAAAACATCTCATCCCCTTATTTGCGTACACCACCAAAAACCAAGGGAAGAAGACAAACTCCACTTCACATGCATGGGTCCACTTCACATGCATGATACATGCATTCATCCTTTGTTTATTTTCTTTTTTTCAATTTAATTAATCAATCTCAACAAGCTCCACCTTGATTAATTAATCAAACCATGGTGCGGCTCCACCCCGCTCGTTCCGGCGAGGTCACAGTCTCCACCAATCCAAGAAGTTTCAAATGTCACCCGCTTCTTCCATGCAAATGCTCTGCTTGTTGCTTGGGGTGGGCGCGGTCCGTGATGGTCCGTGATACTACCGGAATCTATCATGAACCGCTCTTATTTAAAAGATTCAATATCGGTGCGGGATAAACTCCAAAACCATTCGGTACCATTCCATTTTGAAACGGAACGGTACAATACCATACCCATGATCAAACCATGCCAAAAAAAATGAATGGACATTACTCAAAGAATATTGAATTTAATGTATAAATTTGTATAAAAAAGCACAAATTTGTTGAATAAAAGTATTGATTTCAAATTTAAATGGATCATAAAAATAAAGAATAAAAGATAACGAGTCTAAAGTTAAAAAATAATTTTTTTCCCAATTCATATAATATTGGAATACTAATAACTATAAAAAATAATGCTAATAGTAATGACAAATATAATAACAACAACAATAATAATGAGAGAGTTTAATTTAAAATAAATAATAAAATACGAAGTATTCTATATACGGTAAGATAAAAGAAACAAATACTCCATAATTATTTGAGATATATACTCCGTATATAGCGTTGGACGATTCGGTCCGTGATAATCGGTTTTAAATATATGTATCACGGTCCCGTCCCATTTGGTATCGGTTCAGTTTCGGTTCGTGATGAAAAAAATCAATCCCGTTTGAAAACATTATAAACGGTTCGGTACCATTACGGTTCGGTATGGTAACATGCTAGTTCGGTTTTTTTGCCCACCCTTACTTGTTGCACTTGTAATTTTTCCTTCTGACAGCTTCCGTGTCAAATCTTTTTCAACAAGTTTACACAAAACTCCTTTTCCTACCACCATTGCTCCCCTAGAAATTTTTAACACTCCACCTTGAGAAAAAATTCGGCAGCCTTCTGAATCTAAAGCCCCCAATGAAATCAAATTTCCTTTTAGACCCAGTACATGTTTCACTCCAGTTAATGTTCTTACCACGCCATCAAACATGCGAACTTGCATTGTTCCAACCCCTGCAATCCTGCTCCGTGCACCATTTGCCATCTTCACAGCACCTCCATCACAAGTTTGATACGTACCAAATTGTTCATTAACTGAACACATGTGAAATGAACAACCCGAATCTAATATCCAATCCGATTTACCTAGACTCTTTGTGGTTGCCAAAAACAAGTCTTCTTCTCTTGCTTGGTTTGAACTTTCTGTAGCCGCAGTCCCGGGTGTTTTCCCGTCTTTCTTTTCCTTCCTCCTCTTTGGATCGTCCCTTTTGAAATGACCCTCTTCATCGCAATAGTAACACCGAAAGCTTTTACTACTCGATTTGAAGCGTTGGGACACGCCGCCCCTCTCTTTAGACTGTCCTCGTTCCCGACCAGCTCCTTTTGCTACCAAAGCTTGACCGTCATTTGAAACCTCGTTGCCACCCCGCCGAGTCTCATTCATTAACAACGCAACTACTCCATCAAATTTTAAGGTCTCTTTTCCAAACAAGAGCGTGGTCACGATGTTGTCAAAAGATGAAGGCAATGAAACCAACAAAAGCAACGCTTTGTCCTCCTCTTCAATCTTCACATCAATAGATTCCAACTCTGTTGTAATCTTGTTGAATTCATCCAAGTGTCCATTAAAGTTAGCTTCCTCCACCATTTGGAGACCAAACAATTGTTTCTTCAAGTATAGCCTACTTGTCAATGATTTCGACTTGTACCGGCTCTCTAGCTTGTCCAAAATATCCACCGGGTCCGTCAAACTGAGAACCACCCGAAGCATACTATTTGCAACACATAGGCATATTGTACTTGTTTCCATGTCCTTCAAATCCTCCCACTCTTCTTCCGACAATTTTTTCGGTTTGTCATTTTTCTGGTGTTTGGCCCACTCAGCATCCGTCATTTTTCCTATCCTCTAAACCTTCACCTTCAAAGCTTTGATTGTCCCTTCCCGAGTAAGAACACTTTTTACTCGTTGTTGCCATAGAGTAAAATCGCCACATCCATCGAAAGGTTCGACATAAAGATTTGAACTTTTTACTAATGCCATTTTTCAAGTTCTTTGATTTTCTTCTCTTACCGCTTAGAAATCCCTCTGCCCCAAATGTAACTTGGCTCTCATTCCAATTGTTGGAATTTTAAGCGTTTAAGACTATTTAAATATCAAGAACGTGACAAATAAATAAACACACTACACAAGAAAAAATATGAGAGAAAAATTATATCTTCACTATTTCAGAACGATACACAAAAAACTCTCCCTGTTTACAAGCGCTAAATACCAAACACTTATAAACAGATTTTTCACACCCTACAACCGAATGTATTTTCCGAGTAACTGAATAATAGTTACTCCCTACACTCACTCACACAATATTGGTGATATCTTGTGTAGCACCTCTCTCTTCACACCCTTTCTCTCTCTTAGCCGTGTGTAAAACCCACAAACAAATATATGGAAAAAATTCCTCTTATAAGAGGTAAAGACCTACAAAAAAACATCTCATCCCTTTATTTTCGTACACCACCAAAAACCAAGGGAAGGAGAGAAGCTCCACTTCACATGCATGGGTCCACTTCACATTCATGATACATGCATTCATCCTTTCTTTATTTTCCTTTTTATTCAATTTAATTAATCAATCTCAACAATTAGCTTGTAGGGTTTGTTTAAAATCATTTTGAGTAGTGTTTTATAAACATTTTGTTGAAGATGTTATTGAGTCATTAAGGTGAATGTTGTTTCCGGATCTTTCATTTAATTTATATGGCTTATGAAGCACAGCCCTTGCATGAAATTGTGTCACACATCAAGTTCAATAAACATAATTTTCTTTGTAGCTTTGTGCTAAAATACTTTCAGTTTCAATTCTGTTTTTTTAGAACATGTTGGATTTTTTACTCATAAATGGGACAACTTTGGACGTAAATTCGGTAAGGCCCAAAAAATTATTTTTCCAAAATAATTATGAACTAATATTATTCTAAGTGAGATGAGTAATTCAATATATTGTGCGCCAAAATTGGTGCTTGGGTGAATGAGAAATTAATTTACAAAGTCGAACACTTGGAAGAGGTAATACCCACGCATCCCACATCGAATTTGAGACCCTTCAACTTCCTCCATTTATATGATAGTCTGTAATAGCATAATAAAGCAATTTATGGAGGAAGACTCCTCGGTCTGTCCGTCCATCTGGTGACTCCTCGATTTTTCTGCCCAAGCCGTCCAGGTTTGTCCCATCCGCCCAAGACCATCTCCTATTTAAGGAGGTCTTGTTCAAGTGAAGAGGACACACTCGAATATATTAAACATTCCAACACCTCTCATTTCTGATTAATTTTCCAGCGACTATTTCACTATCGTTCTCGCTCGTCGGTGAAAGGTTCTACCGCTCTAGATCTTGTGCGTGAGCGGTTTTATCTTGGGAGGGGATCGTACACATTAGCCAGTGCGGAAGGTGGGTGATACTACCTTAAGGAAAGCTTCGGCGACTCCGCTTTTCTTCCTTCTCCGTTCAGTTTCCGACCACTGGTGATCTCTTCTTTCATTTTTTTCTCTCGTTGTAAAATCTGCACGTATTAGAAGTTCAGATTATTTTATTTTCCTTCCCGCTGTAATTTTTTGAATCAGACAACAGAACATCCTTTATACAGGAGTAAAATATATGTCTTTTTCTCAAACTAGGATTTCAAACTTAAACTCCTCTAAATAGGAGTAGTTATTATTATTTTATTAAAACCTATGATATAGGAGGAAAATATATGTCATATCCTCAATATCAGATTGCATAGCCCATTCCCATTCTCGTTTTTAAGCTATTGCATATCCACCAGCCTCAAATCTTATCCATTTCTCCCTCAAAAAATATAATCAATTCTGACCAATTCACTCCTTTCTAATCACATGTCACTCGAGATCGCAAGTGCACCACCATTCTCCTCCACTCCCAAGACAGGTAAAACAAAGTGCACTATTGATTTTAAACTCCCACCCAAAGTCCGATAATCGACTAAGATCTGGAATCATGATTCCGGCTTAAACCATGACGAGAATGTGTGATGACCATAATTCCATTAATGGCAATAGATCTATCATTAAGATCAATTTTTTTATTTGTCTTGAATTTGACATCAATACCTTGGGTGAAGAGAAGCTCGTCATTATGTAGTGACATGTTTATCATTGTGCATTATTGTATTTCGCATTGTAGATTCGATTGCCACTCATATGTTTTCCTTGAGAATTCATGTAGCACTGTGGCAGGGAAAGAATTTGACGGCGATGGCGGAAACAGTAAACAACAATGGAAGCAACAAAATTTGACGACGATGGAGAATGCATTAGCAGCGGAAAGTAGCCTAGGTGAAGGCAGCTGAGGTGGGGGCAATTGCTGTTTTTTTGTTGAAGTCAGCAAGTAGTGTTCGTTTGTCACTGTGCATGGTAACTGATGGGAAATAATACGTGGCTCGGTCCACATTTCCCAATTATTTACGAAGAACAGTCAAACCGGGTCTGTTTATTAAAATAGAAGAATGAGAGAATATTCCCCCGAAGATGCTCCAGCTACTCCTATAAAAGGAGGGCTCTCCCTCAATGTTAGGGGAGGCCAATTTTTACACTCTCCCCTACCCACTTCCTCTCTCTCTAGACTTTTTGTAGTTTATTTTCTTCAAAGAAGCTTCAAGCTTCCATAGCTTCCATTAATGGCTTTCTAGCCAAAATCGTGTACCATGTACAACCCCCGATATTAATAAAAATCCCCTGTTGGCAAGGTACCGCCAAAAAAGGCCCGTGGTTTTCTCCCGATTTGGGTTTCCACGTCAAAATCCCCGTGTTTATATTTTGGTGTATTTTTTACACTAGTTTATCGTTTTTGACCAGCTAAAAACGATATACCGGTCGATAATTTACACCATCATTTTGGCGCCACCCGTGGGACCCGAGTGAAAAGCCATTATATTTTAGTTCCTTTGATCTTGTTCAACCAAAATGATAGAGGAGAGTGGATGTGTTGCTAAAAAAAAGAGCGTTGCGCTACAAAAAAAAAAGAGATCTTATCTCAATCTTTTTTTTGTGGCTGGTGTACCTACGTAAAAAAAAGAGAGGAAAAAATGCTGGGGAAGGAACCAAGAAGAAAATGGAGTCAATTGGGGTGAAATTGGTAGTACCGCCGTTGCCACAAGAGTCCAATGTCGTCGCCGCCGCTGTAGCACTCGACCATTGCCGCCACCTTTAGCCGCAACCCTGCTTCATCCGCAGGTGGAGTCCACCATCGACAAAAATCCACCACCGTCACCACCGTCGATGCTGCTGTTTCTAAAGCTTGTCCACTGCCTCCCATGGCCGTCACCTCGACGCTCCTTAATGGTGGCAAAGAGAGAAGAAATTCAGGGGATGGCAATAAAAATCCACCCAACACATGGGTGTATGCAGTGCTCCACTATTCCAAAGATAAAGTTGGATTATTGAGGATAGGGTCTATCCTTTGCAGCCGCGCCGGGGAAAATGTCAAAAGCCTGTTGTTCAAATATTTGCAGATGGAGTGCTGCCATTCCTAAAAAAGGGCGATTGTTATGCTAAAGATCACCATCAAGCTGCTGCTACAAACAACGGAAGAAGCAGGAGATCAATGCAAGAAGGAGCCAAAGTTCATTGACGTATTTGCTGTCCAATATGTCGGTCCGCGGCAACCATTGTTCTCGGGGTTTGCTTCCGCCATTGCTCGGACGCACGGCCTCCATAGACTGATTAAGCCGCCCAAGTCCATCACGGCCGCTGGTCCAGCAACTGCACGCCGCCGCCATACCGGAGGTTCATAGTCATCGATGATGCAACCAAACTCGCCGTCGCTAGATGTCGTTACTACTGTTATGGGTATAGTCCCCCGTAGAAGAATCTACGGCGACTGTTGTGCGCCACTCTCAATTGGAGTTCGCCACTGCTATAATTCATCATCGCCAATCTCAATTGGAGTCCGCCTCTGCCACAGTTGGAGTTAGCACCGACGCTATAAATTCATCTGTCGTCGGAGGACTTTGTCTGATCACCAGAAATCTTTTCACAACTGTGGATCTGTCCCAATTTCTTGTCCTTGAGAGTCGGTAGGGTCGTTCTCGTCCTCCCGCTCTCGCAGGATGAAGCTTGTTCTCTCACTACCACCGCCTTGGCTATGAAGGGCTGCCGCAGCTAGACGGCACCACTATCGTTGTTGAAGGCTACCATCGACTGTCTGTCAGTGGTTTTACGATCTCTACTGTCACCACCATTGAAGAGGAAGGAGAAGACTCACCTCGACGCCACAGTCTCTCCAAAAATTTTTCAGATTGGGTCATCGTCACCACCGCCGGTGTATATTTTGTGGCCGCTTATGCGAGTCACCATCGTCACCGCCACCATCATCGTCGAAGTTCATTGCGTCCTTCGTTGAAGTTTCATGGTCACCGTCGTCGGACGAAGCCCCCGAGATCTAATTGTTACGGGTGAAATCCGGTATTACAGCCGCCTTACCCAAATTTGAAAATCTACCATCACCATCAATTCTACTGTCAACATATGCGGAGCCAATCAACTACAAGCCAATTAAAAGTTGAAGATAATTGAGACAATGTGGATGGGCAGCACATGGAGGATACAATCTGGCAGATTTTGAAAATATAGAAAAAAGTGGGTACATGCTTTGTACCAATAATTAACAAGGAGACAAACAAAAAAAGAGAGATAAGAGAAAAAGGGACGGCCATAGGAGGAAGGAAGCAAGTGGAGTGGTGGTGGTGGGGTCCATTACTCTTATTACATCAAGAGATACTCCACTTGCAAAAATCAAGAGATACTCCAATTACAAAAATCAAGGAAATGCTCCCATGAGATGAGGCCCGCGAGCAAACAAATCACTCTCGTCCAACAGCATGCTCGATGCATGGATCTTGGGGGATTCTTCGGCCATTATAAAGGAAGACTGAGACACAGGACCGGACCTGGCACGCTGGTCACTACACCAGTCTTGCTCAGTATAAAATAAAAAAAAGATAAACCCGGAAGAGGGGCCCGGAAGAGGGGTATGCCTGCAAGAGGGCTGGACCTGGAAGAAGGTTCGAACCGTGCTTACACGGGCCCATGAGGATTGACCGGTATCGGGGAATCAGCCGACACTGGCAAACTGATTGGAGACTAAAAGATGCCCATTAAAAGAAATAGAAAAGGGTCGTCCACCGTAATGCATCCTATTCCGACCAGTTCGGATTCCCCCTTCTCAAGGAAGACTTGAACGGGGGCTGAGCTAAGGCCTTCCCGGGATAGTAAACATCAAAGGGCCATTAAAAGACTTAATCACCCGGAAGATGGGGCCCTGGAAGAAGGGTGCATTTTGGGCCTTGGAGAAGGCTCGAAACCATCCGACATGGTTAATTCTCCAATGTTGATCTGGCCCGGCCAGCAGCATTATCTTAGAGGAAGACTGAGACACAGGCCTGGCCTGGCAAGCTGGTTACTACACCGGTCTTGCTCAGTATAATGAAGAAAATATGTGACCCAGTCGAACTGGTACACTGGTCTCACACCGGTCTTGCACATATTTTCCAATAAGCCTGAGCCCAATCGAATTGGGTACACCGATTGCACATCGATTTCAGCAAAAGAGTGAGCTAAGCTCATATCGGGGACGCCCGATTCATTTTAAGCCCTCTATTTGAGGCACTTTGATCGAAGATGGTCTCCGCGAGACATGAAGATATTTACATCAGTCAGCCGAGCTAACGCTGATCTTCTTATTAACTAACGTCGTTGTGTTAGTATACTAATTTGGTCACGCATCGTTTGCTCGACTCGTATTAACACCGGTCTCGGCAAAATAATTATTTGAGGCACCGTCGCTTCATCGTACTAACTCCGGTGCCGTATAACTATTCGAAGCATCGTTGCTTTATCGAACTGACATCGCTCTCGTTATGATAATTATTCGCCTGAAGTTTAATCACCCTAACACCGAGTTCCTCGGTAAAGATAATCTTTATTTGAGCACGGCATAGGCCGGTCAAAAAAAAGTTGTATTTATTATTTTTGCAGGATAGCATTTGATTCAAGTAATTAGAGAATTAATGAAGACTCGGAGGACTAACAATATCAACCGGTCAAGAATGGAAAGTAAGAAGACTGAAGATAGCACCCGGAGGACTTGTTTACTTTTTTAAGTTGATGATTCTCACAACTTAAAAAAGTGGAGAACTTCTTGATGAGAAATAATACTTGGCTCGGTCCACATTTCCCAATTATTTACGAAGAACAGTCAAACCGGGCCTGTTTATTAAAATAGAGGAATGAGAGAATATTCCCCGAAGATGCTCCAGCTACTCCTATAAAAGGAGGGCTCTCCCTCAATGTTAGGGGAGGCCAATTTTTACACTCTTTCCTGCCCACTTTCTCTCTCTCTAGACTTTTTGTAGTTTATTTTCTTCAAAGAAGCTTCAAGCTTCCATAGCTTCCATTAATGGCTTCCTAGCCAAAATCGTGTACCATGTACAACCCCCGATATTAATAAAAATCCCCAGTTGGCAAGGTATCGCCAAAAAAGGCCCGTGGTTTTCTCCCGATTTGGGTTTCCACGTCAAAATCCCCGTGTTTATATTTTGGTGTATTTTTTAGACTAGTTTATCGTTTTTGCCCGGCTAAAAACGATATACCGGTCGATAATTTACACCATCAGTAACATTTGGTATCATGGCTTCGGTTGTTACTCTTATTTTTCCTTGAGAGTCCGTGTGACACCACGGTGGCGAAAGAGTTTGAAAACAACAACGACAACAATAAACAGTGATGGAAGCGACAAATTTTGGCGACAATGGAGATTATTGTAGTAGCGACGATAAGTAGCAGGGGTGTCAACGACAAAGTTGGTGGTGGTAGAGGTGGCGATTACTGATTTTTTTTGTTCATTAGCAACTGAAATTCATTGGGATTTGATGTAAGTTTTTTATTAAGAATTTTGGTCCTATTTTGGGTTTTTGTCTTTTCTACCCATATTTTAGTATATTATCAATGTTTTTCTCTTATTTTGCTCCTTAACCCTTTATTATTTGTGTATTTCTTTTTGCATTTATTTTTCAATAGTGGTCCATTGGTCATTCGGTCGCCACAAAGTGGTTGTGAAAAGGTTGATATTCATGCATGGCACCCAATTGTGAGTCTCATTCACTTCAATTAAGTTAGATCATGTGGATATTCATCTCAAATTAAAAATTAACAATGAAGGCATTATAGCTAATGGTGTAAATTATCGACCGATATATCGTTTTTACCCGGGTAAAAACGATAAACTAGTCTAAAAAATACACCAAAATATAAAACACAGGGATTTTGACGTGGAAACTCAAATCGAGAGAAAACCACGAGCCTTTTTTGGCGGTACCTTGCCAACGGGTGATTTTTATTAATATCAGGGGTGTGTACACGGTACATGATTTAGGCTAAAAAGCTATTAATGGAGCTTTTGAGCTCTTGAAGAAATAAAATAGAAGAATATTCTAGAGAGAGAAAGTGTAATCTGCAGTGGAGAGAGTGAATTTTGGCCTCCTCTTCTTGGTGGAATACCTCTCCTTTTATAGGAGGGAGGGGGCATCTTTAGAGGAATATTCTCTTATTCCTTCATTTTACGAAACAGACCCGATTTGATTATTCTTCGTTAATTATTGGGAAATGTGGGCCGAGCCATGTATTATTTCTCATCAATAGCATTTGAAGGAGATTGGCTAATGGAATGAAAAGTGGGTGAGTGGGCAGAAAGAAGATCGGCTAAAGGGAGCAGCTTTGTTGCCTTTAGCTCCTACATTGGGTATTTTTCTTGATCGAAAAAAGCAATTCTCTACGTACATCATCATAATAAAGGAGGGAGATTTATAAATTAATTTACTCAACTACTCTTATTTACAAGAGCTTAAGTTTGAGTTCCTATTTTGAGGACATGATATATGGTTTACTCTTAGTTTAGTCCTTTTCTCCAAGTATTTTCAAGAACGGAGGAAATATGTTTTACTCTTACTTTGATTCTTTTCTCTTTTTTTTACTCGTGTCGAATAGGATGACTTCTGTGTTCTATTAACAGTGAGTTGCTTTTGTTTCTACAACACAACATTATCTCTGCAAACAATAATTGATTGAGAAACTTTCTTGAATCAAGATAGTTTGTATGCTTTCTATTCCATCCGTCCTCCATAGATTTTCTCATTAGTCCTTTTTATTTGTCCCACATAGATTTTTTCATTACCTTTTTTAACATTTAAAATACCACAACTACCACCACTTACTTTATTTATTACACTTTTTCCACTTTATTTAATACACCCCACCCATTTTCATTAAGGGTATTTTGATAAACTTTCACCTTTTTTCAACTCTCCTTAAAAACCACTAAAAATCAAAACGAGAAGATCTTAGAGGGACGGAGGGAGTATAATTTTTTCGAAAAGTGGTGATCTATGTTGAGTGCTGGACAAATTTTTTGATAATCAAATATCATATGTAAAATTGATCATTTTTAATAGAAGATTCTCACACTAAATACTCTCTTCGTCCCAAAAATGATTGTCAAATTGTGCAAAATGAAGTGAAATTTCATATTTTTTCAATTCATTTTATTTAAAGATTAATATAAAATAAAAACCAAAATTCATATATTTAAAAACTACATTAAAAATACTCAAAATAAAAGGTGACAAAAAACGTACAAATAAAAATAAATGATAAAAAACAAAGGTGGAAGTAAAACATTAAAAATATACTAAAATAGGACTTTCATATATATTTTTATTCTCGAAATAAGAGTTAAAATGCATTTACATTGCCAATTATGACCATGTACATTACCAAAAAGTATACTAAAATATCCATATAGAGTGCCACATTACCACGACGTGAACTCTTATTTAAGGAATAATAACATGCAACTCATATTTTAGTCCTTTATCAATATTTTACACCTATTTAGGATGATTACTTACAAAAACAATTCCATAATTTTTAAATAGTTATTGTTGCTTTCTTTTTGGGATTGAGACAATAAAAAAAAGTTGAGATATTTGGGGAGCCACATAAGCTCATTAACATCCTACATGGTAGAGAAGGACCAGTTGCAAAGCAACATACTTTATAGGAATGAAGGGATTAAAAAAATTATATTGGATCTGTTTGGTACATGGAATTGAAATTAAATTAAAATTTGAATTCTATGGATTGAATTAGATAGATAATTCAATTCCAAATCCTTTATTTGGTATAATTAAGGAATTGATATAGAATTGCATTATAATTCCAAATTCTTTGTTTGTAACACAAAATTATAAATAGAATTATATTTTGGGATTCTCGCAGTAGAGTAATTCAAAGCAAAATCCTAGCTCCTTTCAGACCTCATTCAAACCCTAATTGTATTAGCAGGATGTTAAAAATATAAAATTTAAAAAATAAATTGTAAGACTTGTTTCTTTGTTATAACCTAGAAAAGATTTGTGTGATTTGATTTTGACCCATAAAATTCAAATTCTAGATTTCCAATTCTTTTTCTTGTGCTATGGAATTCAAAATGTAGAATGGAAAGAATTAGAATTAGAATTGAATTCCAATTCCACATAATTTTGTGTTACCAAACAGAAAAATTAGAATTGGAGTCTTCAATTCCAATTCTATAGCTTGAATTCCATGTGCCAAACAGAGCCTTTAGGACAAACAAACACAAAAATACCTATCTTTTAAGGACTAAAAACATATTTTATCCTAACTAAAAGGAAAAATGGAACAAAATTTTAGGACGACCCAGATAGAAAAGAAAAGAAAGGAACATGATTATGAGATGAAGGGATTACTTAGATATACGCAGGAGCAAACACACTGCGAGGAAACCAAAAGACTCTTCTTTGGTCTTTCAATTCCCCCACGGCGTGGGTGATGATGCCAAACCTTAAGTCACTAAGAAGCCATATTTGCATTGCATGGCTAAAATACGACTCCGTAGTAATTAGTACGGAGTAATAATTAATAAATACATTGTAAAATATACAAATTAAAATACCAGATCTGCAGCTCCAGTCAAGAAAGAAATCCCCAAGTTTATGTACAATCTTTGACAGTCAAGTTTTTTTGTTTTCCGAAAAAACAAGACCAAGAAGACAGACCAAACAGCACTTTTTTTTACAATCTTCTGTGTGTCCTTATGAAGTTAGTTGTGTTCATTGCAATCACCGTTGAGCAGGCATACATACCGGCCAAGCATAGGGACGCTGAAAACAAGAAGGCAAGCTTCCACTGTCTTTCCAATGCCAGAACAGCCAACGCGGCCGAGATGAGGGCAAAAGCGGAAAAAACGTTTTTCCACATCCCAAAACTCTTGACCACACCTCTGCATTCCTTACAGTGTATCACGTGCCGGAAATATCTATTGGTGAGATTCGGAGCGTGCATTGTTCCGATTCCGCCCTTGGCTGGCTGAGAGGCTGAAATGCTGGCAAGGGGACCCGCTGGCGCGTGATCCACGACAGCTGGCAGTTTGGGAGGCGAAACAGTGCTGTGCCCGAAATAGTAAGGCATCCCGTGCCCGACTTTGTCCATCCATTTCCTATACTCGGCGACCCAAGTGTCCGAGGACTTCAAGTTGATGTATAGCTCCTTTGTTGGGACATTCTCTTTCAAAAGAGTCTCATTTTGTGAGGAGAGGAAACCCATGTCCTGTTCAAAAACCTTTCCTGCATTCTGGTGAAAGAACCAAGTTGGGAGTAGTTTTAACACCCCTCTTATCTCTCTTGTGCTCCCAAACCTCACAATAAGCATGGATTTCCCCTGCCCTGAGGGTCTGCAGAGAAAGAGACCAGAAAAGTAGTGTTTCGCCCCATTGGGGTCAATAATTTCCCGGTTGTTCTGAAGAACACAGGGTGCTTCGAAACGTACGAAAGAGGGTTTGTAGTTTGGTTTGGACTGATCCCTTATGTTGCCCCACCAACCTGCGAATCCCCGTTTTGTCCTCTCGGTCACCTCAAAAAAGAGGGGCCCTGCGTCTTCCCGCTTCGCGGAGAAATCTGTGCGGTCATGTGAGATGGGGACGTGAGCTGGATCCATGAGATTCTCAAGAAGGATAGAATGGTCATAAGGGAGTTCGTGGGTCGTGGAAACGTCCCAAAAGCCAGGCCTGTCGAAGTTCTCAAACCAATGGAGTTTTTCTTGGTTTGGTGGAGTTTTATGGGACATCCATATCCACACAACTCCCTGTGAGTCCCTAATTTCATAGGGCTTGGCACAAGCAGACTTTGGGATTTTTGCATCTTCTGGTAACTACAAAGACGAAAACGGACTGAATATGAATAAATGAGGGACTTAATAGCTCTATCTAATCGTTAGACAATCTTGAAGAGAGCTCTTCAGCATCAAACACTTAGTTTAAAACAAAGATTGATATTGTTTTGTTTTATAAAAGAAGTGTTGGGAGAATCAAACCTGAGGTATCTTTATACATTTTCCATCTCCTTCAAATTGCCAGCCATGATACAAACACTCAAGTCTCCCTTCAAACAATTGACCTTCAGATAATTTTGCTAATCTGAGACAGAAAGCATCATATTCAACACTCAATTAACATTAGTCTGCCTCATCAAGCCACTCTTGCAAGGAAAATATTGAGACCTTGACAAGTCCATACTAAAAGCTTAATTCTATACAAGTGGTTTACAACTTCTACGCATTTGGTTTGTGTTTTTTATATGCATTTGAAGGGATATGGAATTGATAAAGTGCCATTTCAAAAGACCAAAATGTGAAAGACAGTGCTGAACAAAAACAATTTGGGTCATTGCGAGATTGAAATGTGTCAATTTTAACCAAATTTGAAAGCACCCAAAACAAAACTATTTAACTACTCATGGTGACAATCAAAACCTGTTCATCTGCCAATTTCAAATGCCCTAATAATTCTCCAAACAAATTCAAGAACAAATATAGTAATGAATTAAATGATGAATGAAAAGAAATGAATCAAGTGGGAGGAGAAGAGTAGTAGTTAACCTATGGGGGCAACGATCTTGGAAGCATCTGAGCACACCAGAACCATCGCGGTACAAAACCACCTGTTTATCAAAGACAGTGAGGCCAATTGGGGCGTCCTCCGGCACATTCTTCGTCAGATACAGAGGGTACCACTCCTCCGTCCAGTCATACCGCGATTCTTCTCCAGTGGGAGCCTCCATGACCGCCACTCTCTCATCGCCGCCGGCTCCGCCACCACCCCCGATTGCACAGTTCTCTTTCTTCTTCTTCAACAAGATCTTGTGGCAATGGGGAAAGGGAAGTGTGTGTGGCTGGATCAGAGAGAGTGAATTGGTAGGGTTTGGGGTTGGGTTTGTTAGAGATTTGGCAAGGTGAAAATCAATGGCGGCAAATGGCTGCAGCAAAGCCATTCTCTTCGCCCTTCTCCTTTTTTTATCTTTTGGGAAGGCCCTAGGAGGGGTGTGGCGAAATGGGGATGTAGGCTCTCTTCGTCTAGATCCTAAAAACAGAATTAGATGTTAGCTCAAGTGGCTCAAATAGAATGTGTCAAGTTCATTAGTTCTAGGGTCAAATCTGGGTAGCATAGGAACTTTTTTGAGAATCAAATTCAGATTATATCATGATTCACTTTGCTCATAATCCTGTTAAATTGGAGTGTGGGGCACTCGGGGTAGACATTCTACCTTTTTAAAAACAGAATTAGATGTTTAAAAAAAGTGGAACCACTTAGAAAAAACGAAAAGATATTATAAAATATTTAAAAAATAACTCAATAAAATATTGGGAGAAGTATCGTCATAGCACTAATATATGCTTAAAATACACAATATAGCAGTGTTATGTGATATTAGAATCCGTGTGGATGCAATTTCAAATTTGTCCTTGCGTTTCATCACCGCCAAAAAATGTGTTCCAGTTGGTATACACTTTTAGAATATGGGCATAACACACTGCCTTCACACCCAATATAACATGTATCCACACTGCCAAAACATGATCATTACACACTGCCAATAATTGGATTTAAGTTGGTATACACTTCCAAACACACAAGCATAACATACTGCTAGAAAGTGTAGTTATGTATTGTGAATCATAACACACTGCCTCATGGACATAACATACTGCTAGAAAGTGTAGGGATAACATGATCACTCCACATTACCAAAAAAGTTGGTATACACTTCTAATTTCATTTATTAAATGTGTATAAGCAGTGAAAAGTGGCACGACGATTTTAAGTGTTACGTACAAGGAATGAGAATAACCTCCAAAAATTAGAGATCTCAATAAATATGTTAAATGAAATAATTAAAATACTATATTATAATAAAAGGTATGATTGGAAGAGATCCTCGCCATAAATAGCCAAATGTGTGAAAAACAATAAGGAGTGCCATATGTGTAATATTGAGTGTTTTAGAGTGCTACATAAGGTGATTTCTAGAAATATTCGTTCAAATAAATATGTAAGAAAACTAATTTTGCATCAATCAAAGAATTCAACTTTGTCTGCGTTTGAAGTGGTATGTTATAAATTTAGATATATATGATATTATTGTATATTGTTCATATGTAAATACCTTTTTAGTCATTGTTGGAAAAAAAGACTATGAGGGGTTGAAAGAAATTAGAAGAAGTTGAAATTGAAAGAAATTGGAAAAACATGAAAATTAACTTTTCCAATCCAAATGAAATGGCCCGTTGTGGTTGATCTGGTACATCTTAGTACCTATTAGTATAATTTTATAATTCACGTACTAGCAATTTAGGTGTACTATGACGTTCATTCATTACTTTCATTCATTACCTTTTATAGAAAAAAATTTAAAAAGAAATTATTTTTAAATAATGAAAAAAAAGCAAGATTTTTACTTGGTGACAATAGAATATATTTCACTCATGTTTTCTTAAATATGTTTTTAATCTTAAAATACACATAATCACATAGAGTGAAAATGAATTCGTGTCACTTAGTAAAATATTTAAGATTGATCTCGCATTGAGTCAATCTTAAATAGGAATATCTCTCCGATGGAGCCAAAAACTCACTATGTATTGGCTTTGGTGTATGATAGTATAAAGCAAAATAAATCTCTAGATTGTCTGCGCTTCTTTAATAAATGAAGTTGCATTTAGTCAATCATTACAAGTTTCGGTGCTGAGTCAGGGGTCCCTTTGGAAACAATCTCTCTACTTTCGAGTAGGGTGATACGGCACCATTGGACTATGAGCCGGGGGAAGAACGGGAAGCCGATGGTCAGGAAGCGGAGGAACATGAAGTCGCGCAGGGACAGGAAGCCAACATCGGGATAGTTCGTCGAGCTCGGAAGGCGCCGGTTTGGAACGACGATTATATTTTAAACTAAGTTATTATCATTTCCTTATTATTATTATTATTATTATTATTATGTAATAGTCTTTTTTAGGTGAGCGAAATTATAAGCTCCTTTGAGGGTTTCTTTACGGTTCTTTACCTCGTCGCTTTTTTTGAACCGTCAGGGTAGAAAACATAGTTAATTAGGAATAGTTAGAGTTAGGGTTTCTTCCCACCTATAAAGGGAGATGTATCCATTAATCACAGTAAGAAGGAAAACCTAATTCAAACCCTATTCTCCTCTTCTACGGCGCACGGCTCAAGCCTGCGAATTTCTCTCTCTCTCTTGTCCTCACTTTCTGGAGCTTGAAGACGCTCGAAGTCTTCCTATCCCGATACTTCATCGTATCAACGTGCTCTCGTTGAGAGATATGGCAGAAGCCTCATCCGCGACAATTGAACTAGAGGGGAAGGTTGGCGAGCTAGGGCATGCCATGATACAGATGCAGCGAGATATTGAGTTCCGTTTTGCCCGACTTGACACGGCCCTGGCTGCCATCCAAACAAACCTGGCCGCCCTCCAAGTTGGGGGAGGGGGACGCCTAGGGCATCAGGAACCGGGCAGAAACGGCGGGGGTGCTACACCCAAGCCAAAGTTAGAGCCGCCGACGGAGCTGAACCCCTACGGTGGTTGTACCAGGTGAAGGAGTATTTTTCTTACTACGAAACCCCTCCCGAAGAACGGCTGCGTTGTGTCACCATGATGTTGGAGGTCAAGCGGCCGATTGGTTTCGTTGGAGAAGGAACAACGGATTGATCGACGGCTGGGATGACTTCGTGGAGAAATTCAAACAGCGCTTCGATCTGTTGCACTACGTGGACTATCTGGGGCAACTAGCGAGGGTGCGGCAGATGGGCGGAGTAATGGACTATCAGGCCTTATTTGAGAAGATTCTCACCCACGTGACAAACGTTCCCGAGCAGCACCTTCAATCTCTATTTCACGCGGGACTCAAGCCACACCTACAACATGAAATTAGTTTGCTTCGGCCCGCATCATTATCAGAATCCTTCGCGTTAGCCCGGGAATTGGAGACGAAACACAACGCTATCGTGCAATCGGTTAGCGCCAGGGGGGAACATGGAGCCCAAATTCCAATTGCAGCACATTTTCCCCTGGACGTACGGCCCAGGGCAGTGTAAACCTAGCCAATAACAAGCCCTCCATATTGGGCAGTCCTCCTGCCACCAGCACGAACAGTAAGGAGTCCACAGCCTCAGTAAGGAGTCCACAGCCTCAATACCGGTCCGGCTGTTGACACGGGCAGAGAAAATGGAGAAGGACGCCAAGGGCCTTTGTTATAATTGTGACAAAAAGTGGAGCCGAGACCACAAATGCGGCCGATTCGTTTTAATGATGGGGGAAGACGAGGGGAACGAAGAAGAACTAGAGCTGGAGGAGGAAGACGAGGTGACGGCCGACATCTCAAGCTTGCAGAGCATGGCGGGCATGTCCACACCGCGGTCCTTGCGGCTGACCGGGCAGGTTGCCGGACAAGCTGTGGGCGTGTTGATCGATGGTGGGAGCACCCACAACTTCATCCACCCCCAAACAGTGGAGAGGTTGGGGTTAGCCGTGGAAGCCGTACCACCGTTTCAGGTGTACATTGGCAACGGGGATTCCCCACCTTGTGAGCGGCAGTGCAGGGTGGTTAATGTGGGACTCCAGGGAACGAACTTTGCCGTGGACCTCTACGTTCTTCGAATCCATGGACACGATGTGGTCCTAAGGGTGCGGTGGCTGCGAGAATTGGGGTGTGTTTTGCACGATTACGACAAGGTGACGATGGAATTCACGTGGAGGGATCAAGCAGTCACGCTACGTGGGGATGCTCCAGTAGCCCGACCCTTGACTGTACATCAATTGCGCGCTATGGCTGGCAACCAAGAGATGTCTTTTTGCATGGAGTTAATGACGCTCCAGTTGCAGGAGTCGCCGGCTGTCTCAACCAAAGGACCAGGAGGCCACTTGACGGCAGATATGGAGCAACTGTTGGCAGACTTTAAGGAGATTTTTGAGGAACCAACGTGATTACCTCCCCGACAGGAAGCCGACCATCGGATTTTTTTGCAGCCTGGGACTAAGCCGGTCAATGTCCAACCCTTCCGATATCCCCACTTTCAGAAGGCGGAGATTGAGAAACAAGTGAAACACATGCTAGAACAAGACTTGTTACGACCCAGTCGCAGCCCGTTTTCGTCCCCCGTCCTACTAGTACGGAAGAAGGATGGGACTTACAGATTTTGTGTGGATTACCGTGCCCTCAATGCGGTAACCGTGCCAGATCACTTTCCGATACCAACGGCGGATGAGTTATTCGACGAGCTAGGGAAGGCATGTTAGAATAAGTGCCCTTCACTAGAGGGGGGGGAGAATAGTGAGGCACGAGAATGTTTATAAATTTTCGCGGAATAAAAATCGCAGGGATAAAGTAAAGAACGTAAAAAGTAAAGAACGTAAAAAGGCGTAAAGAGAGCACACCAAGATTTATACTTGTTCACCACAACGTGTGGCTAGTCCAGTCTCCCGAGAGACTCTCTCGAGCTACACTACTTCCGTTAAGCTTACGGGTGCTTAACAAACCGTTACAACCTGAGAACTCGAGTCCCACGAGCCTCAATACACTTGCTCGGAGATACCGCACTCCAAGACTTCAACTCGAAGGAATATGCCCTTCCTTCGTACAACCAAGGGAACAAACCTCCCTTAAAGTGTTCACAACACTTAACCACTTAAGAACAAAAACTCTCTTAAAGAGTAGAATCTGAGTAAACTAATTTAGATCAAGAACACACTCAATTTCTCAAGAAATGGCTATAAAAAGCTGTGTAAAAAGTTTATGGAATGATGCAATGTAAAGCTATGAAATGTGTGAGGAATG